GTTATAAACAAGCCAGATATTCCGTAGCGAGCGGAGCAACGTAATTGCCCGGATTCTCACAAGCCTCGTGGTAAAGAGAGAGAATCCCCGGTGCACACTCACACCTGGACAGCGTTATACATAATGTATATGCACGTATACCGTGCAATTTACCAACACCGAGCACGGTCGCCCGGTAATAGCAACAATTACTTTATTTTACCATCTTCCCGGTTCTCAAACGAGCGTGCGCGCGCGCGAGAGTTCATCTAGGCAATTTCATTTCCTCGCATTTTAAATATCCGCCTTCGAAGAAGAAGTCGTGGAGCTGACTTTCTTTTCTCGCCGCAGAGCCGGCCGACTGTTTAAGCGTGGATTAAAAAGGCTTCTGCACATTTAGCTCTCGTTGTTGAACTATGGAGCGGTCTGGAAAACAATGCGCTGATTAGACGCGATCTTTGGTATTTATGCCTGTCTATGTGTAGCCTATCCACCTAACGATGGCCTTAATTTCACGATCAAGATCTGAGAAAATTATAAGTTACCGTTTCCTGGAACAACTTCTCGTCCCGTGTAATATACCAAATTGAAATTATAATTCATACGTGTATGAACGCTTATTTACGCTTTGCGATTGCCATTCTCCTCGTACGCTTGGTGTCCCTTTTGCGCCCGATAGCGATCTGTAATTATACGGATCAATTAAGGGAAGAAAATAAAAAAATATTATCTCGAAAACAGCAAATGTAGTGTGGATAACAAAATTGTGAGCGAATATTCGAATCGTGCCAGTATTTTTTATCGTCACGAATACACGGTTCGAATGGTTTTATATAATAATTTCATTATTGCACGAATCTCGACAGTTTCCTGATGCCGTGTTGTTACATTACCATTATAATTGTCGTTTATCACGTCCGTTTCCTCATTTTCAATTATTCTAGTTACGATGCGAGCAATAATAATGACGATATCGAAACACGCTTTGAAAAAGTTTTGATAAAATGAACTTTATGCGTATCAGCGTAACGATGATTCGTTTATATATATATTTTTTTTCAAACCTTTCACACGGTTCGAGCGGCAACGAAATCGTTAGAAACTCCACTGTCGCAAACGTAGATATGTTTTGCGAAATTTTATGTAACATATTTCGTCGTACTTCTGCTAGTTTCCTCATGCTGCACGTTAATTGTCATTTTTCACGTCCGTTTCCTCGTTTTAAACCATCCTACATATATTCGCTGAGCGACATTTTAGCGTTAACGAGTAGTAGTTTAACGACACTCCTGGGACTTAATTGGCTACCGGTGGATTCATCATGCCGTTCAACTACGCCTTTTTCTTTTGTTCCACGGATGCATCAATGTTGCGCTTTAACTTTGCAATCCCTTCTCAGCAGTGATTAATGTCTTGCGAACGAGACACGCTGATGAACAATGACAAATCACTCTCGAAACTGAATTGGCCTGTAATTAAAAATTGAATTGAAGTAACAAAAATGTTTTCATTTCTTATCAAAAAAAAAAGTAAACTATATACGAAATTATAAACAAAAATCTTTAAAACTAATTAGGAAGTTGAATTTGTAAAACAATTTAAATAACATCAAATATATATATATATATATACACGTATGATTTCTTTAGAATAGTTATAATTCATATGAATTAATTGTAAAATATCAAAAGATTTTTCACTTATTCCTTGTTCTTTGGCATCAAACGATTAACAGTGTGACGTTTAACGAATCGATGATGGTCGACGTAACTGTAAAAGAAAACACAAAGTGTTAACACAATATAGTATTTGTGAAAGAATTCGAATGGCATATAATTGGAAGGAGCAGCGATCAACAGTGTGACGTTTAGCGAATCGATGATGGTGCTGGTGGATGGCTCGTGGTAAAAACGGCAGTTTGAAAAAAGAAGGAAAAAGGAGGCGATGAGTGGAAGAGGAGGAGGATGGGGAAGGATACTCGAAAATTATTCCGATATGAAACTCATCGCGCGGCGTATCGCGTCAAAGGAGCCAATTTAAAACAGCCCTTTCCAAGATTATCAGCGCGTCGTTGCGGTGGGATTAATATATAAAAAAAGGCGAGTACAACGAAGGTGAGGAAGGGTGGGTTCGAGAAGAGATAGAGAGAGAGAGAGAGAGATAGAGTAGGAGAAGGAGGGAGTGAGAGGAAGGGCAGAAGCGTGCGGGATTGGTAAACTTCCCGGTAATTTGTTCGTCAGTCGCTTTGAACCTCTTTTAAACAACTACTGTGTTCTCTTCCACCTTTTTTCGCTATCTTCCCCCACTCTCCTCCATCGTTGCTTGTTTGAAAGAGGGAAATTATTGCGGAAAGGTGGAAGAAAGGCGGAGAAAGGGGAAAAACTTCGTGATTAAAGGTGCTTCGGCTTGTTAAATTATTCGGTAAGAAAGTGGCTGCATTAAAGATTCTATCGTGAGAAGTTCCCGAAGATATTTCCCTTGCAATTATCGATGAGTCTAATGAATTTGTTCTTTCTCCTCTCGCTCATCCTTTTGCAAATTTCGAACGTGTCGAGGATTTTATTGTCACTCGTATGGCACACTGTTGTTCGTCTAATTAAAAAGAATGAGTAAGTTTTAAAAATTGACGAATAATGGTGCGGAATTGCCGCTCTTATAAATATGTTCCTTAATTGTTTCATTTTTATACATACGTATAATCTGGATCTTGATATTAACACGAACTTCCTCCAAGTAACGAATATCTTAGATTGCGGCAATAAAGTGTTAATTCGTATCAAAATCGTAAAAACAACTTGGCAGACACGATAATCAGATTAGTAAGTAGATATTCGCCACAATGCTTTTGGAACAGAATTTGCCTTAGTTATAATACATTTAAGTGCGATTTATGGCACGTCGAAGAATCTCTTTGCATTCTAATTAAAACATAAATTAAAGTTAAAAATTATAAAGACTTATTTATTTGTTAAATTCGTTAAAAAATATACTTACTTCTTTTTTTATTTTTTTTATTTAAACATATTTCTTTAATTTTTTTTATACCTTTAATTGATATATTATGTTAAAAATAATTATTGAGATATTGTTGAAATCATCGTTATGAAAAATAAGATTGTTAACTTACCGTATAATCTGAGTTATATATCTCTCAGCAAGTGAAATAGCGTTGAATTTTCCGCTTCCTACATTTGTCGTTTTTTTTTTTCCTTCTCCTCAATTCTTACGTGACTTGTCTCTGCTCCTTTTCAAACTAGACACGCAAACATATATATATATATATATATATAACCAATTGAACATTGCAACTTTATCACAATTGTAATGAGACAAAATGACAGAAATAATTCCAAGTTTCCTTTCTCATTAGTTTAATCTATCTTTTATTTTTAATAACGTAATAAAACCGATACGATAAAAATTCAAAAGTTATTCGATCCACTTACGAATATTATATTGTAAAAACGATATCTCGATACAACTTATGTATATCGATACAATTTCCGTCTCGAAGTTAATTCAACGTACATTCGCGGTTGTATCCCGGAGACAGAAGCAATAAAAAGCTGAAACAATCATTTGGACACACCTGTAACTGTATGGCCATTATGCGATGCAGTCGTGTCGATTTCGAAATTCGATCGCCTCGGATCACCTAAGGTTTCTCGACCGTTACTCGTTGTCACCGGCTCTGCCAGATTGCATTTGGATTTGCATATGATCGAGTCATAGGACTGCCGTGTTACGATCGCACTAACACGCATTCCAGCTTCCGTGTCGCATCATATGGAACAATTCAACGCGTTAATTACGGAAACACAAACGAGATATACGAGAGAATCTCAGGTAGGAACGTGTCACGCCGCGAAAACACTTGATTAATTAATTGACTTGGATGCGAACGGTATATAGGATTGGCTTTCGACAAAAAAGAAAAAATAAGGAAATAGTTCTTTTATCTAACGAATTAAAACTGTTGAAACTTATCACAGACCATTTGATATCTATAATTGGATATCGTAAATCATTTTAATTAAAAGGAGAAAGAAATGTCCATGATGATTCAGTTCAGATATTTCGTCGAAAAAAATTACATATGAAATTGTTCGTTATATATATTATACTGATTAGACTTTCTTTTACATGCTACTTCCGCTTTCACTACGCCGGAAATGTTTCTATAATTAATTCGTAGGAAAGATTCGTATTTGGATTAAATGAACGATAAAATAAAAGAGATTTCTTTCTTGATTTCAATGTTCACATCACTTTGCACGTTATTCTTTCACATTCACAAGTGGAATCGTAATTGATAATATTGAATTTATAAATTAATTTGTGGTTCTCATAATTAATCAATTGTATCTTATCTTAAATTCGAAATGAAAAATGAAATTTAAGAAACATTGTTAATTTTATGGTAAATTGAAATTTGTTTGATATAGAATATCGAAACATCAAAAGTAATGGCTATCTCAAAAAATAAAAGCTGTATGATTTTTGCTCATATAAATAGTAACTTCGTTTTAAAACTAAAGCAATGAATTAATTTCGATTTAATAAAAAATAATGACACATCTTCTTTGATAAAACACGTTTTCGTTTCGTTACGATATGTATAGAAAATGTAAATGTCACCAATAAAAAATCTAACCTATATATTTATAAATTTTAATAATAATTCAGAAACATAATATAAACGAAGAATAGTAAAAAAGACAAAAAGAAGTATAGTGGAAACGAATAAATCTTAGAAGGATATTCTCTTTACCTTTTATATTTGATAACAATTAAATAACAATGTTCACACAATCAAATATTCCGTTACTCAAATTTCTAGTTTCAGTCGAATTTTTCTCAATCGAATCAACGTTCAAATAATCGATAGTTTTGATAATCGAGATTTTATCGTCGATATTATTATCAAAAAATTCGGATAATCGAACGTTCCATCAAATTTCTAGTTTCATAATCGAATTTTTCTTTAATCGACATTCCAATAATCGATCGTTCTGATAATCGAGATTTTATCGCCGATATTACTACGTATCTAAAAAATTCGATTGATTCATGAAAACATGGACATGGAATTTTCGAAACTTCGTAGATATACATACGTAAGTAATTGTAAGAAGAACGGTTCGTGTATTACTCGATAGGGTGTGTATACGGCGTACACAGAACGATGTTAGACGTTTGATTAATAGCGTCAGCGCTGATTGGTCACGCTACTAATAAAGGAGCGTTCACACGTATTAAAAGTTCGCGCCTCTGCGTCCACGCCGGTGTGCTCAGCGTCTTCGGTCATTGTAGTCTAGTGTTGGCACGATATAACGAGGGAATGGCGTGTCTTGCTCATAATTGAACCGAGCACCTACAATCCAATCGTTCTTAATCATTCGAATTCATCTCGCTTGCAAGTTTCATTCTCCTTTATTATTCGTTGTCTTACCAACCTGCGAAACTTATCCGAAATCCATATTCCTTTTTTGCTAATAACCGTTATGGACATTTTTTTGATTATTCTTGAATATTCAAATAGATTATTCCAACATGATTGTTCGACAAGGTATGTTACGTTTCGATGGATGTTAAATACTTCAATCTAAATCTATGTTGAAAGTATGTAATAATTTCATTTTCTCTTCACTATTCATTTTTTCTGTGCAACTTTTAACGTTTACTATCATCGAGTGCTTTGTCAAAGTTTTTACGTTACAGTAGATTTTTGTTTGAAAAATTTTACTCGTTTCTACGAAAAATTTGAAAGATCTTTCAAAAATCCATTCAATTGGTGGGGAAAATTCGTGTTATAGATTTGAATACACAAGTCGAGACAAGTGACTACACTCGTAAATTAATTTAGCTCTTTCCTTCGTGGCAAAAGAGCGAAGAGATTCGCGAAGAGCGAAAATGGCGGAGATTACGCGAAATTATGCAAATGTACGGCATTGTAAAGGGATCTGTTTTTCGTTTTATTGGACTGGGCCTGCGGTGTCCTCGGTCGTATAACCGAAACAAAAGCTTACCTAACGCGGGAACAAAGGGTATAGAGGCGAGTAGAAATCTCTTGAGGGCACACATGCAACGAATTTAACTGCTTCCCTAGGCATTACTCTTGCTGGGTTTCTTTTATTCCCGCTTATTCTCTAACTACCCCCGTCTATCGGTCTTCGTATCCTTTTCGTGGTTTACTATTTGCAAAAGCAAAGATTTTTCAGTTTAAATATAAAGTATTATATGGTCAGTTACAAAAAATGTTTTCATACGTTATGTTATAAGGAAATATTCATCCATCTTGAAAAATTTGATTTTAATGAAAATTTGCGTGCATATACATTTTTCAATAAGAAAATCTTTTGAATGTGTAAAATCAAGTCTCAAATTTTTATTATTTTTTTTATGTTTTATACAATTATATACAATTTCGCTTCGAAATATTTTTTACAATTAAATAATAGAGTTTTGAGTATCCTATTATTTAAAATTGTACTTTTTTTTTTCTATCTCAAAATTATATTTAAAAAACGAAAATAATATTGATAGTTGAGATGATTAGATGATTCATTTACATGATTTCATTCTCTCGATATATATATATAATCCATTATAGTTTCACACATTCGTATGTACTTATAATATTTTATGTAAAATAGGATTATTATTAATTTTGATAGTATAATTTATTAGTTATTTTTTTTATATTAAAATATGCATTTATTAAAAACAGATTTTTCTCTGACACAATATAAATCGATTGCAGGGTCGAAGGACGGTTGCTTTGAAAGGATATTCATTATGTCCCTGAAAGTGCGGAGTCTTCGTAACAGCTTTTAAAAGGTGACAAAATCCCCTTAGAGCACGGTTCGCAAGGGTAGGCTAAATTACAATTAATTAATTGACTTCGACTCCCTGTAATTCATGCGGTAAGTCAAACTTAATTAATTATCCTTTAGGGTCAAAAAGAAGGGAGTTAGAGGAAAAAGAACTTTCCATCTTCTGATTGGAAGAGGTATTTGTATTGTTTTTGCCTATAAACTGTTTGCTTCTTAAAAATATACATCAATAATTAATTTCGTATATCAATCAGAGTTAAGTGAAATTTATTTTAAGTACTAATTTAAAAATAATTATGTAAAATAATTTCAAATAAATTATACATATATATAAAACTTATTTCAGTTGATGATTATTATTTTTCATTTGATCAATTAAAGGAATTTGAGGCGAGATGAATATAATGAATTGGGAAAATAATTTGAAGAATTGATTATTTGAGGAACATTCAGAATAAGTATTGAACAATGAATAAGGTAATAATTGCAAATGTATTAACTTATTTTTCATACATATTTTAAAAATATATTTATTATTTGTCAAATAAATTTAAATATTAAAGTAATAATGTAATAAAAAAATTAGATTAAGATTATATTTAAACAAAGAATTCATATAATTATTTATGATTCATTTTTTTCAATTTTATAGGTATATTCTAAAATTTATAAATTATATATTTATCGAAAAATAAAAAGCTTCTTAAAAAAAAAAAAATAACGACAATAGAAATGAAAATACTATCGATGAAAGCAACAGTTTTACCTCGTATCCGACATCAATAAAGTAGGTTGAAATGTCAGTGGTTGAAAAGGCTATTAATTACAGACACCCTCCTCTATTGTAACGACGCCGATAACTTTTCTATTATCCTTTTAAAGGGAGATTTAAGGCCAAATAGTCTTAACAACAGCACGCTTGCAGGTCGTATAATCCTTACTATCATTATCGATATTTTTTTTTTTCTTTTTTAACACAACTTTTACATCTGCTCCGAAACGAATAAAAATCTCGTTATCCGGAAAAGATGATCCTCAGCTGTTAGGCTACACCCACAGATGTTTCTATTTGCAACACTTACGAAAGTATAAGCCAGAAATTTGACAAAGTATAATTTTATTTTTGGGAGTCATAAAATTTCAAAGGCAAGGACCACCACGTACACACATGCTACGATCCTTTGTTGTTAATGGAAGCCTTGATGATCGCGGACAATCGCCGAAGGTGTCTGTCTGCCTGACAAGCCGACACTCTCTACATTGTAATTAATCAATATTACATCGACAATACTTGTATGTGTGTTCGAGGCAAAAGCTATTGTCGTAATTTGCTGCCCTTCTCTTTTTTGTTTACGCCGCAATCGGCCACAACCGCGATTTTAATTGTACCGCTTTAGAGAAACATTTTAAAAGTCGGTTGCTCAAACGAGATGTACTTAATGAATCTTCGCGATGCTAATTGCACCGACTTGCAAATTACTCCGACGATTTCCGACTCGTACATGTATGAATTATAAAAATTTCATGAATCATGCAGTAAATCATTAAAATATTTTATATAAATCAACGAGCAATAAAAAATAGTTGTATAAGTAAACGTTTTTCTCGTGTTTTAAAATAATATAATGCAAAATCTGTCGGTTTCTCTGAATTGTTAACTACTTAATTTTTCTATTTATTTCTATTCATACTCATTCTTTTAAGAATTTTAAATCAGAAATTTTATTTAATAAAATAATTATTTTATGTTTAAAACATATTTGAGTATAAAGATTAAAAAATAATCAAATAAATGAAATAGATTTAAATAAATATTGAGGAATCAGAAAAATATAGGAGAATATAGTTTCATATCTCATTCAAATTTTTTTGTCAATAATCATTGTAATATCAGAGGTCATTTCGGTTATTAATATCTGTAATTAATAAAAAATCACTTTAAATATAATCTGAAGTTACATATATAGAGTTAATTTCTATTTAAATAGATTATTAATTAGATATTAATTAAAAAAAATGCTGCATATAGATAATACCGACAGAAATTTTGCATTCGCTTATTTTGAATGCGAGTGAAAATTAATCGTGAGAGTTAAAAAAAAAAAAAAAAAAGAAAGAGAGTTAGAGCGAAAATTTGGCGAGAAGCGGGAAAGGGTAATTACTAATGATCGCGGAGGATCGTTATTAACCTTTCTGGTGGCGAGAGGCATCAGGACGTAGCAGGACCATTGTCCATTCCGCTAGGTTCATTACGGTGTTCCAGTAGGGAATGAGGCGATGGTCGGCTGGATGATGTAAAAAAGGGTAAAAGAGAAATAAGAAAAGTGTCGGGGGTCAGAGGAGACCGAACGGCTACCGTGAATGGCGCAGCCTGACCCAAGAGCTGCCGGGCATCAAAAGGGCCTCAAAAGGACCGCTTCGAACCTCGGCCTGTCCGAAGCTCATTTGTTTTCACCGGCGCATGGAAAGATCGATCGACCGATGTCTTAACCCTACACTCTCCACGGAATCATCCGCTTTCGATAAGAAAAATTCTGAGGCATTAATTAGATCGGCCGGTAATAGAGTCATGATGGAAAACTGATTGCCTGCGTCGAAGTTACAGCAATTTACTTACCTATCAACTATCTTCTCCGAGTTTCCTTCCATTTTCTTCTTGGTAGTATTTAACGTAGTTTTATACAATTCATTTTTCTCAAAAGTTCATTGTTTTTTTGTTTGTAAGTTTATATCTAATATTTATTTTTATAAAGTTTATTTTATTATGAAATTATCTAATATTACTCTTTTGATTTTTTTTTCCTTATGATTCTTTTTAGGTCACGTTAAACTAGATTAAATTATTTCTTAAATAACATTTTCAATATAATATCCATAATCGTGTAAGTCTCTGATATTTATTATTATAAAATGGTGAAAAACACGATGAAATCCAGAATTGTTATGCATACTGGTGACAGGAAATTGATGACCACTATATATAGAGTAGAAAATTCCCATGAGGTATACATTCATGTTATTCGCATATGTTAAACAGCATATACTTATGTTTTTTTTCTATTTCACACAGGTTTTTTGTAATCGTCTTTCTTCTTCTTGATATCGATTCGATGGATGATCGTTAATTTGAATGGACGAAATGATCGGTAACATTAGACTGGATAATTCGATGAGCAAAACAAAAAGATATAAATTTATATTCTCCATCGAATCATTGTATCTTACGTTCTCACGGCAAAAACACGGTAGATTATCTTACGTGATTGGAGCGGATGAAAATTCCACGTAGACGGACGTGCGGGGTGGAAGTGTTGGGAATTTTAGAAAAATCGGATGAGGAAGAGGTTACACGAGGGGATACTAGGATTGCATTTACAAGGGGGATTTGTACGGTAGTCGAGAAACGAAGTGAAATTATCGATGCGATTGCCACTGGAACAGACTCTCGGTTGAAGGGCCGACAAAGGGTCGATCAGCGATTCTCTCCATCTCCTTTCATCTCGTTCCTTTTTCGAAAGATAACCCCACGGTGGCCACCTTTTTGTTTGCACAGTGAGATTGCTTGCCTCTTGCTCGGAAATTGACCGAAGATTACGGCCGACCGACGTTTGCTCTGCGGCCACGGCCTTAACTTTGCGCTACCACAAAAATATCATTGGCTTCCTCCTTTTCCCTTCCAACTTCTTTGTCTTCTTCTTTCTATTATTTTTTTCCCCCCTTCAGGTATTGATTTCTTTCGCATATATGAAAAACCAATCGATCTTTTACCTTTTTTCTCGCCCAAAGACTTGAAATTTTAAAATTCAAATTACAAATTAATTTCCTCTAAATAAATACGTACGTAACAATCTATGAAAAAATTATTCTTATAATCCATTACGTGTTGTGTGTATTTGAACATATTCATAAAAATTTGCATATCTAATCGTTATTCTTCAAATTTTTTCCCAAAACGTATCGATAAAATCGTTTTTTTTTTTATTCTTGATTTACAAACAAAGTAAAGTATCATCTATCGTTCGTCCGAGAAATTATACGACAAACATTTTAACTGCGACGTAACCACAAAACTTCTCTTTCCCCGGTCGTACACTTCCCTTTCCTCCTTATCCCGAAGAGAGATGATGTCTAAGCTTATTATCGAGACCCTCGAGACCTCTCTTTCTCTCCATCTTGCAGGATTTGATCGAAGTTGATGGAGCGAGCACGGAGCTAACCGCCCAGAGTATTATGTGTCGAAAAATATTCAAGAAAACCTCTTCGGCCAGTCCTTCGGAGGAGCAATGACTTTTGTCCGCCACGATACTGTCAGAAGTGATTACCCGTAATGGATCAAGCTCTTTAATGCTCTACCCACGTGCGCTAGAAGAATTATCCGTCCGAGAGGCAGCTAGAGCTTGTTTAAAGGGCGTTGTACGCCCGTTATACGACGCGGTAACAAGCGCGATTTCAGCTCACGGTGTACAATTAAAAGTAACACGGCTCGATGCGCGTTAACGCGAGCGAGTCGAATCGTTTGATCCTCCGTAGAAAAATTGCGCGCTCTATTCCGAGAGAAAGAGAAAGATTTATGACATACGGTTCTAAAGATCGTAAATCATTTGGTATATCGTAAACAGCCAATAAGCTGAGATCAAAGAGACATTAAACTCTGGTCGAAGTTGGAGAAGTGGGGTTAGAACCGGTTAATCGTCGATAGAGGAGCGATTATTAAACAGAAAAAAAAAAAAAAAGAAAGAAAACAAGAAAAGAAAAAGAACAGATTATTCTTCTCCTAGAGAAGGCTAATTATGAGAGGCATTAATTAAGCACTAACGACGAAGGATTATTAACGAACAAATCGGTTTTCCTTACATGGGGACAAGGTTTTGATCGACGAGCCACGAGTTTAGTCGAGGGCAACTTACGACGGCCAATCGATCTATCGATTGAGATCGATCGGATTACCGGTATGCACGATCCTTTCCTCGTATCGATATATATATATATATATGTATGTATGTAAGGATCGATTGCAGAATGAAAGATTGTGAACTAATACGGGTGACAGAAGGGAGTGTACAGACGCACGGGAAAGACGCGATTGAATTACCATAAAACGCCATGATTAACGTAAAGTAAACGAATATAATGCCGCAATGACCGCAACCTGTTCTATAGCAGTTAGAGTATGTCCCCACAATGGTTTCCTGTATCTCTACGTCCGACGTGACTTCTCTTTTATCACATCGTTCTCTGTGAAATTATAATTTCGTGTACGAATAGATTTAAATTTAATTGGTAGTGGAATACTAAGATTATCATCTGTGATGAGAAATACGATAAAACTTTAAAACTTCGCACGGTCATTCAATTATTGGGTACGTGTGTAATAGGTTAGGTAATATGAACATTATGAATGCAGAAATAAATCAATTTACATAATATATCCATATATTTAGTTTTGAAATTCTAGTTTAAATTTTATGTAAGTATTATTATGTATGCTAGCTTTTTATTATTTACGTATATCAATAATTTTATTATTCATTTTAATATTGAAGTAAATATATAAAAAATATAACAAATAGAATAGAATAGAATTTTGTGAACATGAATTATATATTTATATAATTATATATTAAAATAAATTGATTTAAAAATTATATATTACATAATCAAAATTTGATAAGATCTTCATCAATTAGAGACATGATGTAATTCCTTCAAAATCTTCAAAATCTTTTGAAAACGCGATCTAATTGTTTTGAAGCAGAAATTGCGATGTTTTTTGTTTTATAAAAAACTTAAGTGGTCGATGTGCGTGCACGAATGCGTGAGAATTGACATGCGTGCATAGGTGTGCGTACGCGTGACAGTGTACGGTAGGACAGAACATATGATACATATGGGAACGTTAGGCTCTGTGGTTTGAAGCCCGTAACGTGTGGCCAGGGCCGTATGAGGTGTAAGGCGCCCCAACGATGAAAAGGGGGCCACGATCGGCAAGGAGAAACGAAGAAAGGAGATTAACACTTCTGCATCTTGCCACATATTATATGTGGATTTAGCCTTCGAAGATTACGCAAACGAGGGAGGCTTGATTTCCGATCGATTGCAGTGTCTCCGATGACAGGAATTAACATCGTAGCCTTCTACGATACTAAGATATTTGATTCTGCTCGAATTCCATATGATTAATCGAAATCTTTCGTTCGAAAGTTGTCTTACGCTCGAGAGCTTATAATTTGACATTTATCGAAAGATATTTTACGATTTATCTTTGAAGTATCTGAATCAAAAGGGATAGATTCAAACTTATCTTAAATTAAATTTAAATTATCCTTTAAATAATGTCGATTTAAAAACTTAATTTCGAACTTGAGTTAGAAAAATTGTTAATTACTTTATCGATAAATTTTTTATCTTTTTCATTCAAAAAGTTCGTCTAATTTTCTGATCTGTATTTTCAAATTTTACAATAAAAAGAAAATAGGTGGAGAACAATATGATAGATGGCGTTTAGTTAAAAAAATATGGCGGGCGTACGTTGATACTTTTTACGTTGTTTAATTTTTTGTGAGTGATTAAATAAGTGTTGTAGCGGAAAAAACTTCCCTGTGATTTCTTAATAGCAATCTTTTGTTTATCAAAATCGATCCTTACCTTTATTTCGAAAGTTTATAACAAATAATTATTCGTAATTGCAGTTAAATTTTCAAAGTGAAATCCTAACCTAATAATTTTCGTTATTTAATCAACGCGATTGCCAACCATCAAGTCAATTGTGTCTATTCGAATCACAAGAATTAAAAGAAAGTGTGGAAAGTCTTCATTAGAATAAGTTATATCATAAAAGATTCGTGGTGTGTGGTCATCATGGTCCTTCCAAAAGAGACGGTTCGAAAGGAGGGTAGTGCATCGACGCATTGTGTCTCATTCCACGGTGCATTGCGCAAGCTTGTGAGAGAGTCGATTGGCTGATCGGTTACAAAGTCTTTCTTGCGGCAAGACCGCATTCCGTCTTTAACCGGTCCCTACATCGACTCGTCGGCTCGATCTCATCGATGAATTCGTCGATCCGGCAATACCCAAGATTTTTACGATCCCTCCCAACCAGGATCAGGCTTCATCGCTTCCTCTCTGCTAGGAAGGGGTACTCTGCTCGTCGATCGAGGTACGTCGTATGACATATTTGTAAACCGTATACCGTTTCACGAGGAAATAAACTTCCGCGCGGTGGCGTTTACCTACCTATATTTATCATGCAAATTCGTCGTAATTTAAAATTTACGCGTGTCTTTGAAATTACACGTCTCTAATATATATTCCCGTAGCTTTCCAACATGATTTTAACATCGCTATTTTGATGAATGCGCGTTTTCTAGCGAGTTCCTCGAACTCTACTACGGCAGGTAGCTCTCTGGCTATGTTTGATTGATAAAACAGCACCGATCTGCATACCGACACGTATCTGCGTGAATATATAGGGTGTCTAATTTTATTCCATAAATGAGAATTACTCATAAGCTATTTATTATTTAAACATTATTTGAAAAAGATACTATACATAGATGATTTTTCTATATAAATTATACCTGTTTGACCTTTCGTAGGAAATAGCGCATTAAAAATTATATTTAAAAGAATGTATATCATTTTCGTATGTCTACGCGTTTATCTAATAAAAAAAAAAAAAGATAATTAGATTCTATCGAAATTATTTAATTCCTATCTGAATACAATAAATGCAACGAGTTACGAATAATTTACAAAAGAAAATAGAATTTATAATTAGAAATTATATAAGAAATATTTAAGAAGCAGATATTTTTGGAAGCAACCATAAATTCATTCTCTAAATGGATATGAATCATTTTATACAAATATTCAAGTGAAAGAATTCGCATGGAACAACAAGAAACAACAAATATAAAATAAATTCGCGGTTGCTCTTCACCAAGCTATTTTTTTCTCTTGTTATCCCCTGGTTCTCGCTAATGATGCAATCGACTAACAAGAATTCCAGCCATCAACTTCTCGTGGCCGATCGTTTCCTCTTTCCGTTACCGTATCTCGGTCCATCTCGTTCCTCAATCTCCGTGGTAATCGTTTTAATCTTTTCTTCGAGTGAAAGCAACTCCGGCTAAATTGAGATCTCGTCGGTTCATCCGGACTACGCCGGTGAATTTTATCGATTTACCCTTTTCCCTTTGAAAATTCAACGCAATA